CTTGCAGGAATCTTTCTACCATGTAGGATCCAGGAACTAAACTCAGGCTTAGCAGCAAGCAGTCTTACCTGCTGAGTGTGTGTGTGTGTGTGTGTGTGCGCGCGCGCGTGTGTGTTTGAGGTGAAAGTCAGAGGACAACTTGCAGGAATCTTTCTACCATGTAGGATCCAGGAACTAAACTCAGGCTTAGCAGCAAGCAGTCTTACCTGCTGAGTGTGTGTGTGTGTGTGTGTGTGCGCGCGCGCGTGTGTGTTTGAGGTGAAAGTCAGAGGACAACTTGCAGGAATCTTTCTACCATGTAGGATCCAGGAACTAAACTCAGGCTTAGCAGCAAGCAGTCTTACCTGCTGAGTGTGTGTGTGTGTGTGTGTGTGCGCGCGCGCGTGTGTGTTTGAGGTGAAAGTCAGAGGACAACTTGCAGGAATCTTTCTACCATGTAGGATCCAGGAACTAAACTCAGGCTTAGCAGCAAGCAGTCTTACCTGCTGAGTGTGTGTGTGTGTGTGTGTGTGCGCGCGCGCGTGTGTGTTTGAGGTGAAAGTCAGAGGACAACTTGCAGGAATCTTTCTACCATGTAGGATCCAGGAACTAAACTCAGGCTTAGCAGCAAGCAGTCTTACCTGCTGAGTGTGTGTGTGTGTGTGTGTGTGCGCGCGCGCGTGTGTGTTTGAGGTGAAAGTCAGAGGACAACTTGCAGGAATCTTTCTACCATGTAGGATCCAGGAACTAAACTCAGGCTTAGCAGCAAGCAGTCTTACCTGCTGAGTGTGTGTGTGTGTGTGTGTGTGCGCGCGCGCGTGTGTGTTTGAGGTGAAAGTCAGAGGACAACTTGCAGGAATCTTTCTACCATGTAGGATCCAGGAACTAAACTCAGGCTTAGCAGCAAGCAGTCTTACCTGCTGAGTGTGTGTGTGTGTGTGTGTGTGCGCGCGCGCGTGTGTGTTTGAGGTGAAAGTCAGAGGACAACTTGCAGGAATCAGCTCTCTCCTACCATGTAGGACCCAGGAACTGAACTCAGGCTTAGCAGCAACACTCTTACTTGCTGTGTTTTTTTAATGTTGTATGAGTGTATTGCCTGCATGTATGTAAGTGTATCCATGTCATGCTATGCCCATGGAGGTCAGAAGAGGGCATCGGATTCTCCTGGAATTGGAATTATGGATGTGGTTAGTCACCATATGGGTGCTGAGACTCAAATGTGGCTCCTCTACAAGAGCAGCCAGTGTTCTTAACCACTGAGCCATCTCTCCAGCCCCCTTATTGAGCTATCTTGATGCCCCCTCTTGACTTTCACTCAGATTTCCAGGCCAGAGGCTGAGGTGATAGTGCAGCCCATAAAGTGCTTGCCCTGGAAGCACAAGGGCCTGAGCTTCATCACCGGAACCCATGGAAAAAGCTGGGCATGGTGGCATGGGTCCCTGGACTGACTGACCAGCCAGCCAGCCTAGCCCACGTGGTGAGCCGTGAGAGACCCTGCCTCAAAAAGCAAGGTGGACTGCTCCAGAGAAACAACACCCAAGGTTTCCTTTAACCTGTGTGGGCACATACCTGTGCACCCACGTGAACACACACACACACACACACACACACACACACACACACGCTTCACAAGCTGGTCTTGAATTTGCCGTCCTCCTACCAAGCCTACCAAGTATCTGGGAAGACAGGTCTAGCTCCCTGGTAGATATTCAAGGGTGAAGTGATTTTTTATCCTGTTCTGACTTTAGCATCTCCCTTCAACTTCCCCGTCTACACTGCCTTGACGACTTTGTGTTCCCGATGTGTGTCCAGTGTCCAAGAGCCAGTGGGGAGCTGGGGAGAGAGGAAGACAGTTCTCAGTGGAGAACTGGAGACTCATCCTCAGCATCCCACTTGCCTTGAATGCTTACACAGGGCGATGGCATCCCACTGGCTCTCTGACCCCATCTCCAGCTCTATTTAGCCACCATTCCTTCTCTGAGAAGATCAGGAAAGCCCTGTTTTCTCGCAGCCTGCCCCCACCCCACCCCAAATGTGCCAGAACTTGAATGTGGGTAGGAGATGAGGCCCAGCCCTGATTGCTACACCGTGGCACACACAGGGCAAGAGTCAGCTTCCTGAGTACTGGATTGGAGGACTTAAAAGGATGGACACCAGGTGTTCAGGGACTTTGGGAACAAGGGGGGGCTCCCTGAAGAAAAAGAGGGGCTGGGGTCTCAGAGGAGGGTGTGGGACATTTAGAGGCAGAACTCAGGGCAGAGGCTGCCCATCATTCCACACTCACAGAAACAGCTGCATCGCCAGCTTGCCTCCCACACTAGCTGCCATTTGTATAAGCTTCTCCCAGGAAGACTTCCTGGATTGGGCCCACGTAACTCCAGTCCCTCCTCCCATTGGCTAATCCATAGATATTTCTTGAGCAGTCACTTTGGTTCTTGGTATTGGGAAGTTAAGATAGACCAAGCTCCCTGCCCTATGGTGTTTATGTTCCATTGGACACTACCTAACAAAAAATAAATAAACAAGATAACTCACAGGTGCTAGGGGGGAAACTGGGTGGTGTGGTCGGTGAAGACTACCTAGGGAGGGGCCTGTGAACTGAGACCTGAAAAGAAATAAACAAAGAAAGGAAGAAGCCAGAAGAGAGAGATAGAGATGGAGATCGCTGGACCTGGTGCCCAGGGTGGGAGGACAGCAAACGCAAAGCCTGTCTGTACTACAGAGTGAGTTCGGAGTCATCATGGGCTACTCAACAAGAACCTGCCTCAGAACAAAAAGAAGGTGCCTGTGAGATGGCTCGGTGGGTAAATGTGATTGCTGATGACCTGAGTTCAAGCCCTGGGACTCACATGATGTAAGGACTGTTTCCTGCCAGGTGTCCTCTGGCCTCCACTCTATACGTGCACTATGGTACACGCATGCATGTGCACAGACATAATGAAAATGAAACAGAATTTTTTAAATTAAAAAGTAAAAAATGGGGGCTGGAGAGATGGCTCAGCGATTAAGAGCACTGACTGCTCTTGCAGAGGACCTGGGTTCAATTCCTAGCACCCACATGGCGGCTATGAACCGTCCTTAACTCCAGTTCCAGGGGAATCTGAAGCCCTCTTCTGACCTCCGTGGCATTGCACGACACGGGTGCACTCACATACATGCAGGCAATACACTCATACACATAAAATTAAGAATAATAATAAAATATTTTTTAAAGTAAAAAATGGCGGGGCTGGAGACATGGCTCAGGGGTTGAGGACACTGGCTGGTCTTGCAGAGGACTCAGGTTTGGTTCTCAGCATCCACTTGGCGGTTCACAATGGTTTGTTGCTCTAGTTTCAGGGGATTTGATGCCTTCTTCTGGCCTCCATCGTATCAGGCACACATATGTGGTGCATTTACATACACACAGGCCAAGCACTCATACACCTAAAATTAAAAATAAATGAATCAAAAAATTAAAAATAAAAAGTAAAAAGAGGGCTGGAGACATAGTTCAGGTGGGGGAGGAGAAAGAGGAGAGAGACACAGAGAGAGAGAGAGAGAGAGAGACAGAGAGAGAGAGATGGGAGAGATCAATTACCCTATCACTTTGAGGGCCTTCCAACCAGATCCTTAACTTTAGGGGAATGGGTACATATTCTAGGGTTAATGGAAAACTTGAAAGTTGGGAGTTCAGAGGTCCCTATAAACACTCTCAGGCTACAGGGCCCCTTTATCCCAGACAGCTTCCCGTGTTAAACTTGAAAGCCCTTTAAACCAGGAACAACCCCTCAGAGTCAGGAGCCGTCCAAGTCTACCTCTCTGTTGTCCCTCAGTCCCTCAGGGACTGGCCCTAGGAGACAGGAGTTCCCAATTGTTTCCCATTCCCCACCCACACAGCAGAAAGCTCTGTCAGTCACCAGGGTAGATCCTGTGCCCTCTTTAGGACAGCCCTGTGACCAGCCCCGTGTGGCCACCACGAGGTACTGCAAGACTCCCTCTCCAGCCCAAAGCATGAGGTCAGGAAGGGAGGTTTGATCAGTTGGCTTCCCCAAGTCAGTTTGGAGCCAAGTTTCTTTCATTTATTCATGAACTACTTGAGCCTTGTGTCTAGTGACATAGAGATGCAACCAAATACAGCTGCGGAGCCCTCAGTGGACTTGCAACTGGGAGGGAGTCACTAAGTGCTTCATGTCTTTCTTTTACTTCCTGCTCCCCTCAAGGGATGTTGAGGGGACACAGTGATAGGGGCTTCTACATTTGGGCACACTGTGCCAGTTCCATGAGATGCAGAACTCTCTGGCCCTGACTCAATGGCCCTTCAGCTTGTGGTCAGTTCAGGCCCAGCCTGTGCCCAGAGCCTGTCTTCCACCAGTACATGAATGGAGTAGTTTCCTGCCTTCCTTCCCCAGTCTCCTGGAAACTCAGAGCAGCTATTATATGCCCCCTGCAACACCCAGCTTCCTAAACACATCCACCCAAACTGCCCTCCTTACCCAACTTTAACTGTAGTCACAGGCACAAACATTCTCTACCAGCCCTTACTGCTCTGTCCTGTGCAATCCCTACCCTCACCCCCACCCCCAACTGGTTCTCTCTTTCTTATTTTGGCTTTTTGTTGTTGCTATTTGATTGTCTGGGTTGGATTTGCATTGGTTTTTGAAACAAGGTTTCTCTATGTAGTTCTAGGTGATCTAAAACTCACTATATAGACCAGTCTGGCCTCAAACTCACAGAGATCCACCTGCCTCTGACTCACAAGGGCTGGGATTAAAAATTTGTGCCACCAAAACACCTAGAGCTGCAGTAAGCACGGCATCCACAAGTTAGGCAAAGATCACTTTTTGCAAATGGAGAAACTGAGGCATGGAGACATCAGCTAGCTGCTTCCTGATATACCAAAACTTAAGCCCAGGTCTCATCTCTCTCCAGCCAACCACATTTCCATGATCAGAAGAAAGGCTATCTACCCCAGCCTACCTTCCCATTCTCCCACACCCAGGCCAGGAGGGTAGTATTAAACAACACAATTTGAGAAAGTCTTGGGAAAACAAGATTCATGTTTTATTTCCACAGAGAAACTCAAAAGTAGCAAGCTTCTACTGTAAATGGTCACAGTGACTTCCAGTCACAAAGAGCAGAGGGGGAAGAAAGTGTCGGGGTCATCCGTTGAGGCGGGTGGTCAGACACATTACAGTGCAATGGGAAGAACAGATAAAGCAGGTCCCCAGCTGGGAAGATGGGGGTGTCAACACCCAGGCGGGGCCTCACAGCAGAGAGAGCTGCAGGGAAGCGCAGTCAGACTCCCTGAAGACCGGTGTTCATGAGGTCTCAGAGTGACTGGAAAGAATTTTCTAGAAAGAAAAAAGAAGAAAACCAGATGATAGAATGTGGCCTTTTCCTAATCTGTGGAGACTGGATACACTTTCCTGCAGTTTCCTGGCTTCTTAGCTGTCCTTCCCAGGGAACCCTTCAGTTCCCTCACTTTCACTCCCATATAAAACAAATTCACTGTCTCACCAACTTCATGACCACTTCCCAGGCCGGGGCCCATGGTGCACACCTGTAATCCTAGCACCTGGTGGCCTGAAGCAAGAGGATTAAGAGTTTGAGGACAGATTGGACCACACAATGAGACCCTGTCTCAAAAATACAAAACAGAGGGCTGGAGAGATGGCTCAGTGGTTAAGAGCACTGGCTGCTGTTGCAGAGGGTCCAGGTCTGGTTCCCAGCACTGGCCTGGCAGCTAATACCCATCTGTCTATAACTCCAGTACCAGGGGATCCAAGCTTCTGGCCCCTCTGGGCTGAAAGCATGTCGTGCGTTTACCTGCATGCAGTCAAAACACTCACACATAAAATAAAAATACCTAAAAACGTATTTTAAAAAACACAAACCAACAAAAATATATTTCCCTTCAGGAACCTGCCTCTGAGCCCCCATTCCCATGCTCACCTCTCCGTAAGTGCCCCAGACCTTCCCATCCTCCTCTCTGTCCTTCACCCAGCATTCCATCCTTCTGGTGCTGTGCCCTCAAGGTCCCCTCAATTCACCTCATGGGTGTTGTACTCGTGTCCTGGGATATTTTCTAAAATGTCTTTCGCAACACCCCATAAAGGAACCTGCTTTTATTTTCTTTCTTTAATTTATTTATTTATTTATTTATTTATTTATTTATTTATTTATTTGTCTTTTTTGAGACAGGGTCTCCTTGTAGCCCCAGCTGTCCTGGAACTCACTATGTAGACCAGGTTGGCCTCGAACTCACAAAGATCCACCTGCCTCTGCCTCCCAAGTGCTGGGATTAAAGGCGTGCATCACCACGCCCAGCATTTATTTATTTACTTTTATGTGTATGAATGTTTTCCCTCCTTGTATGAGTGCACCGCATGCATGCAATGCCTGATGAGGCCAGAAGAGGGAGACGGAGCCTATGGAATTGAGGTTATGGGTGGCTAAATGTGAGCTGCCTTGTGGGTGCTGGGAACTAAACCCGGGTCCTCTGCAACAATAGCCAGTGCTCTTAACCACTGTGACATCTCTCCAGCCCTGAACTTACTTTTATTTATCCCTCTTCAGTATCCCTCAGAGGAAACCCGACTTTATATGGTTGCTTAGAGGTCCAAGGAAATGCCCAGGTCCCAGTCTGCCCCAGAGGGCAGCCTCTGCTCCTTGCATGTGGCCCTTGTATGGCCCACTCTGACACTTACCTACCAAAACTTCAGCCACTTCAGTAGGCCTGGCTGTGCTCGGGAAGCCTTCAGGACAAGGAGAATGGCAAGTGGACATCACATTGTTTCCTCCACCCTCTCCAGCCTGGAGCCCCTTCCATCTCCAATCAGATTGTCTCTAACCCCCCTACTCACCGAGGATGAAGTCGTGACTGCTCCCTGGAAAGAGAAGATCAGAAAAGGTGACATAAGGCCACTACAGCCCTCCTTGGGCTTTGCATTATCAGCAAGCCTCCATTATCATCAGCAAGCCTCCATTATCAGCAAGCCTACTTTATCAGCAAGGTCCTCCAGGCTGTGGATATTCAGTGTGCAGATTTTTTTCCACAGCATACATTTTATCCAAGATAATATTGACTATGCCTCCCCAACACACAGGGACCATGGGGAGTGGAAACAAGAGAGGATCCCTTTTGCCCACAGGCTGGAGAGAAGCCAGCCACGGATAGTGGACAGGTGACACATCTACAGGCGGTGCTAACTTTGTCTGCTCCTCCTTGTCCTTAACAATCTTCTTTATGTCTTTGTTTTGCTTTGGTTGTGGCTTTTGGGTGCTGGGAAATGGAATCTAGAGTCTCATATATAGGCAAGTGTTCTACCACTGAGCTACATCCTCAACCGTGTGTGTGTGTGTGTGTGTGTGTGTGTGTGTGTGTGTGTTTTGAGACAGGGTCTCCCTGTAACCCAACCTGGCCTGAAACTCACTATGTAGACCAGGCTGGCCTTGATCTCACAGAGCTCTGCCTGCCTCTGCCTCCTGAGTGCTGGGATTAAACTTGACCTTTATATTTTGAGGCAAGATTTCAATACGTTTCCCAGGCAACACTTGAATACACTCTGTAGCCCAGGCAAGCCTTAAACTTGTCATCTTCCCACCTTAGCACTACCCTCTGCCCCAACCCTAGTAGCTAGATTATAGGCTTGTGCCAACATGCCGGGGCTTCTCGTATATTAACAGAATACATATAATATTTACTGTCCTGAGAGATGGAAGGGAATTCCTGGCCTGGGTTTTCTTTGCAAACCTAATCGGTATCTAACATATTCTCTTTCTAATGTTGTAATATTACTTTATTTATTTCTTTCCTGGTTGGTTGGTTGGTTGAAATGCTGAGGCTGGAGCCCAGGACCTTACCTGTGCTACACAAGAGTTTTACCACTGAGCCACACCCCCAGCCTCTAAGACTGCCTTTTTATATGTTATTATTTTTTATTTTATTTATTATTTTTATTTTATGTGTATGCTTGTATTGCCTGCATGTAGGTAAGTGCACCCATGTTGTGCAATGCCCAAGGAGGTCAGAAGAGGCTGTCAGATCCCCTGGGACTGGAGTTATGGACAGTTGTTAGGTGCCATGTGGGTGCTGGGATTCGAATCTGGGTCTTCTGCAAGAACAACCAGTGTTCTTAACTGATGAGCCATCTCTCCAGCCCCTTATATATTATTATTATTATTATTGTTGGTGTTGTTGTTGTTATCATTACATTTATTTGTTTATTTTGTGTGGGAGGGTATGTGCATGCCACGGCCCATGTATGGAGGTCAGAGGACAACCTGAAGGAATTGGTTCCTCCTTCCATCAGTTGAGTCTCAGGGATCAAATTCAGGTCATCAGGTTTGGCATCAATCACCTTTAGCCACTAAGCCATGTCGCTGGTCCCTAAGACTGCCAAACTTCTCAAGTATTTTCTTCCGTTTTGTTTCCTCTGAGACATGAAGCCTGCTGTTTCTCATCAACTAAGAGTTCTTAAACTAGCTTCTCAGAAGTGCTGGTCTGCTTCCCACTGCCCTAGCTGCTCTCAGCAGAGGGAAAGAGAGCAACCCTGTGTGATGTGCCTCCTTGTGCCCAGTCCCTTGGATGTGATGTGTTCCAGCCGATTCTTCCCAGAGCATCATGATGTCCAGTTTCTGTCTCATACCAAGGCTGCTCTTTCAGCCTTCTCTGAGAGGGTGGTTATATGGGGTTTCTATCCCCCACCCCCACCCACATCCAAGCTGTGGAAGCCTGGCTTTCCAAAGGGATGGGGGAAGGAGGTAAGTCTCTCTCCCGACTCAGCAGAGAGCCCCAGGGAAATAAAAGGTTTTGCAAGACTCACCTTTGCGGAAGTCTTGGCATAGTACTGCCAACTATAAGTAGGTTGCACCTGCTGGTTGTGATAGTAGTTCTGAGGGAACAAAAGGGGGTGGGGGAGGAGTTATAGAAGAGAAGGGATGAAGGCATTCTGCTGTATAGTAACACCCTACTCCCCTGACCAGACCAGAGGTTTCTTAAAGTCCTTGTTTTGTCCACCTGCCTTTGCCTCTGGAGAGTTGGGATTAAAGGTGTGTGCCACCGTGCCCTGCTCTATGACTTGGATTTTCTTTCATGTCTATCCCACAGGGCCAGCCAGAACCCACCCCATCATCAGCCACTTAGCTGTCTACTCTACAGGGCCTGCCTTTTCCTTCCCTAGTATCTCTCCCAGCTCCTGAAGTATGACTTGGGAGGTGAGGACAGGAGACCAAAAGAAAAAGTGGCATTTAAGTCAGGTGGTCGGGTTTTGGGGACAGACTCTTACCTTAGCAGTGACAGCTGCTACCTCGTGCCTTCCTGTATCAGGCTGGGAAAACTATCAGATGGGAAGGTTAAAAGAGAGACATTCAGATTATCCAACGCTGGGAACAGGGCTGAGAGGGACCCAGGGCCTTCCAGGGGAGCCTGAGGACAGAGAACCCACCTGATCAGCGCCACCTGCTCTCTTTTGCAGTGATGAGGCCTGAGAGGAGGACAAGAGCCACAGTCAGCACCTCCACAGTCCTTGAGGCCTTACCAGATGTACACAGCATTGGTGTTGCCTTGGCTCTGCCTCTCTTGGGGCCCTGACACCTCACCAACCACACCCCCGTAATGACCCAAGATAAAGGGACTGGAGGATGCTGATGGCCCAGATAGATCAAGGAAACAGATCCCCACACTCAGGGTTGGGGAGTGATGGTAAAGAGCTGGGTTGAGCACCACCACCACCTCCACATGGGTTGGCAGCTCAGGCTATAGCTGGACTAGAATAACAAAGGAGTTGAACCCACACAGGGCCCTCGGCCCCAGCTAACCATTTGCTCCCGTATGGGCCTCTTAATTCCTGTGCACAAATGCTATTCTCCATAGGTCCCTGGAGTCAAGAAATGAAGGAACATTTAAAGCACTTTGCAGGTGCACAGATGCCATAGCCTTTCCCACATTTGACAGAGATGCTAGCTAGGCACCTTGGGCCATGTATATGCTATGCAAGTGCTGTACCACTGAGCCACACCCTAGACCCTCACTAGGGGATTCTAGGCAGGTGCTCTACCACTGAGCCACAACCCCAGCCCCCTGACACTGAATCTTAACTCAGTCTTGACTTCAATGAGATCACAAACTGGTCACTCATGGGCCTCTAGACATTTTTTTGCTTGGTCTGCTCAGAAAAAAATTAAATTAGTTGCAAATGATTAAAAAACAGATTTCTAGCAGGGCATGGTGGTGCACGCCTTTAATCCCAGCACTTGGGAGGCAGAGGCAGGCGGATCTCTGTGAGTTCAAGGCCAGCCTGGTCTACATAGTTAGTTCCAGGACAGCTGGGGCTACCCGGCGACTCTGTCTCAAAAATAACCCCCCCCCAAAAAAAACCAAAAAAAACAGATTTCTAGCTGTTTTTGAAAATACACACTGTAGCAACACTGATCCTAAGTATGTGTGCATGATGAACACTCGGACAGCCCTGCCTCAGTTCTGGTTCCCAAAGGCCACTAGCCATGAAACACTGAGGTATGGCTTTCTATAGGATCCAGCAGACCTACTCATCCTCCCTGAGACTCAGCCAGTCAGGCCTTCGGCACCTTCCTGAACTTGATCTTACCCTCCTTTCTCCCCTCAGCTTTCCTCCCCTTCACCCCATTTCCATCACCTGAGAGCTGACCTCAGCCCTTCCCCACCTTGTGGTCCTCCACCACACACACTCCCCTGGTGCCCACCCAGCTGTGGCTGTCTCCGAGCCAGGCCAAGTCCAACAGGACAAGCAGTAGAGCAGAGGCAGTGACGGGCTTCATGGCTCTGTTTCCATGGAGTCCCTAAGCCTGGAGTCCTGGGGTTTTATCCTAGGGAGTCCCTCCCACTCTACTCCTTCCATCCACTCAGGGTTACATAAAGCAAGGAAGATGGGACGGGAAGAAGGCATTCTCTCCATCAAGGGAGGGACAGGAGCACCAGCAGGTCACCTGTCAAGGACTCCAAACCTAGAGTTCCCAGAGCTTAACTGCTTCACCCCAAAATAAGACATTCCACCCCATCCCCTTACCTCAATTTCTTTCCAGTTGAAGAAAGGAGTTCTGCGTTTGAAATTCTGGAGGGAGAAAGAAATGAAAGAACCCCCAAGGAGCCAGAACTCAGACAGTAGGAGGTGGCAGCACAGCGGCAGGGTTCCAAGTGGCCATAGAAAAGGCTTACAAGGCCAGGTGTATCTTGGGGTTGATGATAATCATACAGGGAAATTAAGGGTGTTCCAGTTTGAGGTGGTGATAAGACTTAATGAGATGGCCTATCTCAAAGATGAAAAGAGTTGCCAGGTGTGGTGGCACATGCCTGGAATCTCAGCACTCAGGGGGCCAAGACAAGATGATTGTGAGGTAGTTCCAAGCTAACCTGGCTTACATACCTAATGAATTCAAGGCCAGTCTGGGTTTAGCAAGTTCAAAGCCAGCTTGGACTATACAGTGAGACACAAAAATTAAAAACAGGGGGCTGGAGAGATGGCTCAGTGGTTAAGAACACTGGTTGTTCTTGCAGAAGACCCAAGTTCAAATCCCAGCACCCACATAGCAGCCAGCAACTGTCCATAACTCCAGTTCCAGGGGATCTGACGCCACCTTCTGTCCTCCGGGGGAATTGCATGACACAGGAGGACTTACATACAGGCAGGCAATACACTCATATAGCTGGGCATGGTGGCTTACATCTCTAATTCCAGCACTCTGGAGGCAGAGGCAGGCGGGTCTCTGGGAGACTGAGGCCAACCTAGTTTACATAGTGAGTTCCAGGCCAACTGGGGCTTTAAGGAGACCCTGCCTCAAAAAACACAATAACGAAAAACAAAAGAAAAATAACAACAACAAAAAGGTAGGCTGGGTATGTAGCTGAGTGGTAGAGCACTTGTCTAACATATGCAAGGCTCTGGGTTCGTGCCAGCACTGCAGAAATGAAATTTTGTAAAAGGAAAAGAGGGAAAGGGATGATGATGGCTGGAGTTGAAGTGGTCACTTTGAGGGAGGGACAGCACAATGTGGATCCCCAGGTCTTTGGAAAGTGGGGATTTTCCTACCTCCCAGAGCCGGCGGAAGTACAGCAGGGCTCGGGTGCTGGGGCGCGGGGTACGGCCCTGTGAATGAAAGATGGGGGACAGGTTAGCAGGGAGTAGGCCACTGCTCACCTGAAGCCTTGACTCTCGCTCCTGCCTTTTCTCAACCTTCAGAGTTAGTAACAGAAGTCTGGGATGGGGGGGAGGCGGGTACTAACAGCCCCTAGGAGTAGAAGCTGAATTTAGACTCAGAGGGAGAGACTGGCTAAACATCTGAGCCATCATGCCTCTCCTTGACACAACGTAACTGTCACAAACCCTTCAGGACCCAGAACTTTCTGCCTTTGCACCTGCCAAGGTCGCCAGGCATCTCCCCATTCCCATCCCTGGACAACAGTGGTGACAAAGAAAGGAGCAGAGACCAGCAGTGTGGGGCAGCTACAGTTTATTTCCAGGGAGAGGGATAAAATTTAGGGGTGACGGAATAGTCGGGGACTCCCATCCAACTGGTAACTCCTTGTCTGGAGGTCACGGTTTTCCAGGGCTCCCCTTGTCCTGAGCAAAAAAATAGGTTCTAAGAGGATGCTGGAGGGGTGGGGATCCTTGGGAGCAATGGGCTCAGGCAAGGTGGTGGGGAACCCTACTCTCAAAATCTCAGCTGTCCCAGATTAAGCTTGACAAACCTCTGTCCCTGGCCAGGAATAGTCCACAGAGCCCTCCCTTCATCCGTTACCCTGGCTGAAGTCCTCAGCTAGGCTTCTGCCCCACTGGCAAGGACTGGAGCTACGTTTTCTTTCCTGCCCAGTTTGACCTGCCCCTGGATCTGCCCCTCTGGGAAGCCACTTCCTATGTATCCCACCTAGTTAGTATTCCCCAGATGGGAAAAAAATGCCAGTCAGTGCCCTGGCTCTCTTATAAGACCCTTGGTCTCCAAGGTTCAAAGCAAGGAGGGTTGTTCCTGCCAGAAGCTGTTTTCAAACAACAAACAAACAAAAACAAAACAAAAAAAAAACCCCAGAGTTCTCATCCAGCATCCAGGTATAGTAGTACATGACAAGAATCCCAGCATTGAGGAAACTGAGGCAGGAGGATTGCAAGTTGAGGCTAGCCTGAGCTACCTAGTGAGTTCAAGGCCAACCTCAGCTACATTGGGAAACTCTGTATTCAAAATAAATAAAAAAAAACAGAATTTATTTTATTCATTCAAATCAGAAACCCACGACAGCTGGGAAATATTTCTCTCCTATCTCTCATACCCATGGTTCATCCTCCACAGGGCAGCCTCTTTTTCCCGAGGTTTGGGTGATTCTTCTCCGCCACCCCTTCTCCCATAAAGACCCCAAGTCTTGGGAAGCCAAGGATACCAGTTTTCATTATTTTAGACTAAGTGTCATATCATCAGCTGCTCACAAGGGCCAGTCAAGTGGCTGGAATGCCTAATGGTCAAGGTCCACGTGGCCTCTAGAGAGACCCACAGCAAAAAGAAAGGCCACTTGGCCACATAGAAAGGGGGACCCAGAGTGGCTAAATCTTTCCAGAAAAGCCAGCCAATTTTTAAACTTTGTCAAAGAATTCATAGTCTTCTTTTTTTTTTTAAAAGTGTGTCCCTGTGATTCTTGAGATGCCCATGCCTATGCCTTGGATGTGGTCTGTCTTTTTCTTAATAATACCCAACTTTTCAGGGCCTGGTGGCTAAGGCCTGACATTCCAGCTACTCAAGAGACTGAGGCAAGAGAATCTTGAGTTTGAGAATCTTGAGTTGTCCCTCCTTGGACAACTTAGTGAAACCATGTCTCAAAAAGGAAGAAGAGACAGGGGTGTAGCTCAGTGGTAGAGCACCTGCCTAGAATCCCCCAGTGAGGGGCTGGGGGCGTGGCTCAGTGGTAGAGCACCTGCCTAGAATCCCCCAATGAGGGGCTGGGGGCGTGGCTCAGTGGTAGAGCACCTGCCTAGAATCCAACAGTGAGGGACTAGGGGTATTGGTCAGTGCTAGAGTGCTTATGTGGCACTCTTGTGGCCCTAGAATCAATCCCAAGCATGCAAAAACTAAATAAATAAAGCATTAAAAATAAACCCCAACTTTGCTAAAAAAAAAAAAAAAAGAAAAAGAAAATGTAGTTTAAACAAGGTGCATCAGGCGCCTGCAGTCACAGTTTCTGCTTGGGGACTTTGGATTGTTCTTTGCCCTTCATCCTCTCTCTTTCCATCCAGCTAATCGTGCTGTCAAATCATCCTGGCCAGGGGAGGGGCCCTGTGAAGGGGGAGGGTGCAGCAGGGAAGAGAGAGGTGTTCTAAGTCCCAGCTGTGAAGATTATACATGAACAAGGTCATGACCAAAGCCTGCCACCCATCAGGTACTCAACAGCTGTCCCTGTCCTTTTTTCCCTTGTCTCTGAGTAAATGGTTCTTCATGTGGCCTCATAGCTCTACCTGACTCCTTTCTCAGTCTGTCAGTCTATCTCTTTTGTGTGGTGCTGGTGACTGAACCTAGAGCCTCACACGTGCTAGGTAAACACCCACTGAGCCATACCCTAGCCCCATACTGGGGGATTCTAGGCAAGCGTCCCACCTCTGAGCCATGTCCCCAGCCCCTCACTGATGGATTCTAGGTAGGTGCTCTGCTTCCCTCACCAGTGGATCCTAAGCAAGCACTCTACCACTGAACTACAGCCCTGGCCTTTTTAAATCTTTTTATTATTATTTTGAGATATCACCTCCCTAAGTTGCCCAGGCTGGCTGTGAACTCATAATCCAGGCTGGCCTTGAATGTGCTGATCTTACTGCCTCTGCCTTCCAAATAGCTGGGATGACGCACCTACACCTGTAATGATTAGCTCTTAACTTTCTCCTTAACTTTATGGGTCTAAAAGGGAAACAGGTTGAGGACTCACTGGATTCCGCTTGTTTCAACATTAAAGTTAAAGGAGGTCTAACCCCTCTGCTCATCGGTTTCCAAACTGTCCTTCTCTTTCCCAGTCTCCACTGGCTCCCTGTCTGCCAACTCATTTCGTCTGAGCATTCACTTAAATACCTTCTCAGTGACCATCGTCACTGTCCCCCTGCCTTACCATGAAGAGCTCTAGCTCTCTTCTCACTGTTCCTCTGGCTCTCAGATCGGTTATGCACGGCCTTCCAGCCTTACCTTGTCCACGGCATCCCAGTTAATGAAACCCATCTTGGACTTGAAGTTCTGCACAGAAAAAGAAATGACCAAATCAGATGAATAGAAAGGGGCTAGGGAGTTGGTTCTCCCAAGGAGAGCAGAGCCATCTTACAGAACTCACCTCCCAGAAATTGTCAAAGTTGAATGGTGTGGAAGACGTCTCAGAGTTCTAAGGAATGGATGAGAAATGGCAGGAGGTTAAGAGTTCACTTTGTGAGCAAGAGGCAGGGGCCGGAGATGTGAGTGCCAGGAGGAAAGATAAAGTGTGCCTGACACACCAGTCCCAGTCCAAGGAGGAACAAGGCTCACCACAGTGTTGACTCCGTTGATTGCTTCATTTCTGCCACTGTCCCCATGCTCCTGGGTGGGGAAAAGGGGACTGATGTTCAAGGCTTATGTTTCCTGTCATACAAGCACCTGTCAGCCTGTCGCTGTCCCACCCATCTCCACCGGGACCCGAGTGTCTCTCCTCCTCTCTGTAAACTTTTTCTCTTTTTTCTTCTGTACCTGCAATTCCGACTCAAAAAGCCATTTCTCTAGACCAACTTTGACCACCTAGTCTTGAAACAGAGCTGGCCTCAAACTTGTGGTAACCCTCCTGTGTCAAGCTCCGGAGAGCTGGGATTACAAGGATCTACCACCATGTTTGGGCGTGGTGGCTCACACCTTTAGTCCCAGCACTCGGGAGGCAGCCGGATCTCTATGAGTTCAAGGCCAGCCTGGTCTATATAGTGAGCCAGCTGGGGCTACAGGAAGATCCTGTCTCAAAAAGACCAAAAAGTAAAAAAGAAAAAAAAAAAAAAAAGGACCCACCATCATGCTGATTCTTATATTCATATCCTTGCCTCCGCCTCCTCCTGTTCCCCCAGACACCAGTGGTAATGACAATGGGTGATCCCACTGTGTGCTAAGCACAAAGCCTTAACCTGCCATAGGACTTTATTTATCCAGAGGTGGCCAGCAGGTGGCGTCAGGCTCTGTCTCTATGCCAGGACCCTGCACCACCTTGATCTGGTTATGATACAGAAAACTCTTCTGTAGCAAAGGAAGGTTAACAAATCAGGCCTCCTTGTCAGCACCTTACACAAGGAAGCCTGGGTTCAAAGAGGTTAACTGAGTTGCCTGAAGATGCACAGGTGCCAAGGGATAGAGTGGACGTTTGAGTCCCCAGCTTCCAAAGTCCAGTGAATTTCCACTTCTCTACACTGACTTATTAAGCACATTTAAAAGTATGTGTGTATGTACATACATACATATATGTGTGTGTGTGTGTGTATATATATATATATATATATATATTCCCTCATCTTTCTTTTTTTTTAGTACTGAGAACTGAACCTAGAGTCTCACCTATTTTGAGCAAGCTCTCTACCACTGAACCATGCCCCCAGCCCCTCACTGAGGGATTCTAGGCAGGTGCTCTACCCCTAAGCTACCCCCCTCAGCCTTCTTTTACTTTCTATTTTGAGACAAGCTGTCACTAAGTTGCCCAGGCAGACCTTGAACTCACTCTGTAGCCCAGGCCATTCTTTTGCCTCAGCTTTCCCTTCCTGTAACTGGGATTACAGGCCTGTGCCTCCAGGCCTGGATCCCTTTGACGTCTCTTCTGTTACTTTGGTCTGATTTCCCTGTTGCCATCAGTATGACTCTGATCCCAATGGAAAGAGGAAGGGACGAAGTGATGGAGGAGGAGAGGGAAGTCCTAGACCTCCATTTTAGTTTCCTGATAGTCACCCAGTCATTTCAGGGCAATTTACGAGAATAGGTATTTTTGTCCCTTGGCAGTCTGTCCCACACTGCACCATCCCTTCTGCTAAAGCTACCCTTGGCTTACCTCATAGTCATGGGGGCCCCCAAGGAGACGGCTGTTCTCTCTGCTTTCCTGGGGAGACAGAATGTGCAGAAGTCAGTGAGGGAGAGAGGGCAGGACAGAGTGCAGGTGGGGGCGCTTCCCAAAGCAGGAGATGGAGACTAGAGTTTGAGGTAGCTCTCTCTCAGGCAGCTTCACCAGATCTGGCTCCCTTATGTTTACAAATATATCTCCATCTGTTGATATTTCTGCAACTTGCCCAGAATCCTGCAAGAGGTGCCTTTGCCCCTGGTCAGGCTGCTGGACTGAACTGAAACAAACTAGAAACCCCAGATGGGCTGGTGTCTGTGCCAGGCAGAAAGGGGATGGCAGCTGGTGAGTCAGCAGGACCGAGGTGTGCTAGGTGAGTCAGCAGGACCGAGGTGTACTAGGTAGCCACCGCCTACTGATTGGCAGCTCCACTGTTACTGATTGGCAGCTCCGCTGTCTCTTCCTCTTTCCCAGAAGTAGCCAGTAGACCTGGCTTGGATGCTGGGCCACCCGCCTTGTTAGTATTGCTATAGGAGACTGGAGTCTATTGTGTTCTCTGTGGGCACAGTCTCTACTCTCAAAGGTTGTCATCCCCCTGCCCTCGTGTCCCCAGAGGCCCCTAGTGCCTCCCTTTCTCTGCTGAAGTTCTGGAGGGATAAGAGAGTAAAAGCCTCCTGTTGTAAAGCTGGAGGCCAACTTCAAAACTGTGTGTACTGGTATAAAAGATTCTTCTGGGTGGGAGCTGGAGAAATGGCTCAGCAGTTAAGAGCACTGGCTGCTCTTGCAGAGGACCTGGATTTGGTTCCCAGCACCCACATGGTGGCTAACAACCATCTGTAACTCCACTTACAGGGGATCCAACACCCTCTTCTGGCCTTGTGGGCATTATGCTCACTTACATGCAAAGTAAAACACCCATACACATAAAATAAATAAATAAAATGTTCAAAAAACTAGAAACAAGAGTTGTCAGCTGGAAGAACTTTACTTAAAACCCGGGACCCATAAAAGTGAAACCCTAATATAGCAGGGCTTCAGAGCCAGCTCTGCTCGGCTACCCCTGTCTTCCAATCCCATCTTGCCCCTTGCCCATTGGGCCTCTAGGGAGCCAGTGTTCCTGAATCCCAGCCCCACCCCAGATCTTCTGGCTCAGCCTGCATTTTGCACAAGACCTCTAGGTGTGGACAGGAGTGCCACGCTTAGTCAGCATCACAGCGAGTGCTGACCCTACTGCCCAGATTTCCAGAATAACTGGGAGGACGTGTGCAGTTCACTTCTCTGTCCAAGTTCACTGGATCTGTTCACTGGCTAGGGATGGGACCTTTGAAATTACTGTGCTTCTAAAATGGACTGAAATCAGAGAGGGCCTTGTGGTGCATGTCACCCCAGCACTTAAGAGGCTGAGGTATGAGGATTGAAAGTCTGAAGTTAGTTTGGGCCGCAGAGCAAGACTCTATCTCAAAATAATTAACTAATCAGGGACTGGAGAGCTGGTTCCATGGTTAAGAGCACTGACTGCTCTTGAAAAGACCTGGGTTTGATTCCTAGCACCCACACAATGACTCACAACCATCTATGATTTCAGTTCCAGGGAATCCGATGCTCTCTTCTGACCTCCCCAGGCATTGTATGACATGGATGCACCTTCCTACATTCAAGCAATGCACTCATACACATAAAATAAAAAATAATAAATAAAATATATTTTTAATTATCTAATCAACATGCTACACAGAGATTTCTCACATGCTCACATGAATACAAAACAAGGCTTAACGCTTAAGAGTTTGCCATCAAAGTTCAAGGCCTTGATGAAGCATGCCTGTAATCCCAGCACTCGTAAAGCTAAGACAAAAGGATTGCTGTGAGTTTGAGGGCAGCCAAACCCAACCCTGCCAGTGAGACCCTGCCTCAAAAAAAAAAAAAAAAAAAAAGGAAAAAAAAGCTGGGGAATACAGATCAATGTAGAGCACTTGCCTAAAATCTACCAGTGAGGGGGTGAGGGTGTGGCTCAGTGTAGAGCACTGGCCTAGATCCACTGAGAGGCGGGGAGTGTGGCTTAGTGTAGAGCACCCACCTAGCAAGGTCAAGGTGCTAGATTCAATCCCTGGTACCACAAAGGAATAGAGAGATGGCCGTCTATAATCTCTTTGGAGATCGTAGGTAGTTTTAGGGAACTATGGTTGGTTTTGGTTTCTTCTTCCTTAAGTATGGGTTCCCTTAGATGGTTGAATAAGTGCGGACATCGGGGACAAGGCTGAGCAAAGTAGGACTCTGAGGAACACAAAGTGGGCTCCTGAGGCTGGACACAGTCACAGTGAAGAAAGGCTCTCCCTACACACATGAGTTGGGCACTCACCTGACTCCCAGATCCTCCAGTCACACGCATGTCATTCCCTGAGTTGTCACACTGTGGGAGGAGGAAGATTTTTCTCAGTGCCCTCTTGAATAGCAATACCAGCCCCCAAAGGGCAGCACTGTAATCAGATCCCCCTTGGAGCAGACATGCGGGGCAGTCTTGCCCATGTTCAACTAAGCCCACACAGCCCAGCCTGACCCCCCTCTTCCAAGATCTGTGCCCACGTGGGCTTCCTGGCCACTGACCTCAGGTCTGTTTCCTCCACCACTGCCACCTCTGCTGCCTGAGGATGAGCCAGTTCCCTACAAGAAAAGAGTCCATGTAACGTCTTAAAAGCTTGTGCAAAAGAACCAGGAGCTCCAGCTATCTCTCTAGCTTCCGTTTGTTCCCCATCTTTGGCCATCTGGTTGCTGGAAGAAGTTCAACTTGAGTTAAAGTGAGTCAGGTATGGCCCAGGATGTCTGGAAATGTACAGTGACTTTAAGAATCTGAACTGTTAGTACGCCATATCTCTCTCTCTCTCTCTCTCTCTCTCTCTCTCTCTCTCTCTCTCACACACACACACACACACACACACACACACACACAGAGTTACACATGTAGTTATACACACACACAGAGATTCACATACACACACATAATAAAAAAATAATTTTTTTTGCCAAGTGTGGTGGTGCATGCCTTTAATCCCAGCACTTGGGAGGCACAGGCAGGCAGATGTCTGAGTTCGAGGTCAGCCTGGTCTACATAGTGATTTCCAGGCCAGCTGAGGCTCCTTCTCAAAAGACCAAAAAAAAAAAAAAAAAAAAAAAAAAAAAAAAAAAAGCTTTTTTAAAGAAGCTGCCACTAGGGGGCAGGCTGAGGCTCATTCCACCCCAGTCCTTCCTCATCCACCCTCTCCTACACAGAAAGACCCTAAGAATCCTTACCCTGGAGACTGAATAGCCTTCATCAAAATTGGAAGTTTCTATGTCCTGGGTGGGGAAAAGAGGATAGAATCAGGCTCTGCATAGTAAGCCACTTATGATGTTAACAGTGGTTTTTATTTACTTGGTCCATTTTTTTTTTTTGAGACTGTCTCATATAGCTCAGGCTAGTCTTGAATTCACTACACAGCCATGGGTGACTTAGAACTCCTGCCCCTCCTGACTCTACCTCCCAAGTGCTGAGATTCCAGGCATACATCACCATGTTGGTTTATGTGGTGCTGGTTCTTGAGCCCAGGGCTTTGTGCACAGTAGGCAAGTCTCTTACCCATTAAGCCACAGCCACACATGTACTTGCCTCTTTTATTTCGTCTCCCTGTAGCCCCAGATGGCCTGGAACTCTTTATGTAGTCCAGGAGGCCTCGTTCTCACAGAGATCCTCCTGCCTCTGCCTCCTAGTGCTGGGATTAAAGGTGTGTGCCACCACACCTGGTCACAGTTGCCTCTTTTGACTGACATCATTCTCAGACCCCCAAAGAGGTCCATGTGGTCCCTGAGTCTGGACACCCTCTATTGGAGTTCTGTGAGGTGGCCCCTCTTACCTAGCACATGAGGGCTCACATGTGTGCCACAGCTATTAGTGTCTATACCACAATTGTTCTGAAGTTTCCACAGAAACCATACACCCCCATTCTTCTGAGGGTTTTGTTTTGTTTGTTTGAGACACAGTCTTGCTGTAGCTCTGGCTGGCCTCAAACTCACAGCAATCCTCCTGCTTCAACCTCCCAGGTGCTGTGTCATATTATTCCAGACCTACCTGTCTTCTTCCCTCCCCTCACCCCCACCTCTACTCAGCAAGCAGTAAAGGTTAGACCAGAGCCAGAACTGCCCTTGCCAAGGTGGCATAGATGGGAAGGGAGCCGGCAGAGTGAGAAGTCGGGGTGCCTGTGTAAGGAGCCCTGTGGTTGGTACTGGAAAGGTGGAGACAAGGGCTGAAAAGCCCAGGTTGATCACTGTCACTGAGGCCATCTACTCTAGAGCTGTGGAAACCCGAGAGCCCATGTCTTCAGGACCTTCACCCCATTCCAAGAAGCAAAACTTACCCTGGACCCAGTGCTGCTGCCACCATGGCCACTGTTGCTGCTGCCTTGGTTGTTACTTCCATGACTGCTACTTCCATCGCTGCTGCTACCACCGTTGCCATGGCTACTGCTGCTTCCGCCGCCTCTGCCACCACCTCCACCACTACTTCCCTTAGGGGCACGAGAACCCAGCAAGGGCTAAGGATAGGGACTCAAGATTGTGTTCCTCACAATCTTACATATTCCCAGCCCCATCTAAGGATCAGAACATCCCAGTGTTGAACCACAGGATATGTCTCCTCTTACCCCAAAGTTGTTGGAGCTTCCACCGGAGCCAGAGGGTGGGGGATTAGTACACTGTGAAGGGAAGAGGAGGAGCCTGTAAGGTCAGAGATGTCAAAGCTACCTCCACAGGCATCTCTGCTCCCTTCCCGCCTTGTCCTCCCAGTTCCCACCCTCTTTCCCAGCCTGTGACCCCCATCCCTCTTCCTTTCCTCCTTGTCCCTCCCCTAGTCTGTCCCATGCACCCAGATGCTCATTCTCTTACCCCTGAGTTTTGGTTGCTGCCTCTCACTGACCCATAGCCAGGCTGAGCCACAGCACCCTGCAGGGAGGGTGAGACTCAGTGTGGGATCTGGAGGATCAGGAGGGGTGGAGAGGGGCAGGGACCAGGGTGGGTCTCAGTAGTGACTTTACCTGAGCATTAGTTTCATAGTTGAATGACCCACCATCAACACCTTGACCCCCAGAGCCGCCCAGAGAGTTGGTTCCAAAGCTGCTTTCTGAGTCCCAAGGAGTCCCTGAAACCCCAGGACTGCCCTGGGCTCCAACGCCACCCTGAGAACGAAACATTCCGTGGCCTCCAGATGTGCCCTGCAAGACAGTAGTGTAGCCATCTCTAACAACTATGGGGGGGGCATGGCAGTAGAGGTAGGGTGGGTGACACCAAAGAAAACTGTCCCAGACGGCCACCCGTTCACCCCTTGAACCATTTCCCAAGCTTCCCAGTCACTCACCCAAGACCCAGAGGTGTGAGCGGCATCTACCCCACGTCGAATGACGTCCTCAGCCTGTCTGCCGGCCTCTCTGCCGGTATTCTCCAGAGAGTGTGCTGCCTCCCCAAGCCTGTGGCTGAAAGCATCCCCCCTGGCCCCGCTCAATGCAGAGCCGCCTTCTCCTCCATGCCCTTGACCAAAGGCATCCTGGATTCCAGAACTGACTGCTTCCTTAGCCCCTTGGCCAACCGCCTCTTCAATTCCAGAGCTGACTGCGTTTCCGCCCCCATGGCCCGCGGCCTCCTGGATTCCTGAGCCAGCTGCCTGGCCAGCCCCTTGGCCCAGAGCCTCCCCAACTCCATGGCTAATGGCATCCCCAGCTCCCTGTGCAGCACCTACCCATGGGCCCTCTCCTCCATTCTGCAGGGGGTTCGCGGTCCCGCTGCCCAGACATAAGGCCAGCAGGAGACAAGCCAGGGACCCCAGTAGCTGCATCTCTGCCCAGCTCCCTCTCTCTCCCCTGAGGGTCTTCTTTCCAACCCAGTCTACTTCCTGTTGCCCTTCTCCCTTCCTCTGGTCGATGGGTCCTCCTGCCTTCTGTCTCTCTGCTTTCTGGTCCTACCTCCCTGGGGACCCACAGCCTCTCTGTTCCCAGACTCCCCTGCTTTCCCAAGCCCTCTTTCTGGTCACTACCCCTTATACTGTAGGTTGGGAGAAGGTAACAGGGCTGGGCAGCCCAAGATCCCTCCCCCAGTGACTCAAGGCTCGATAGGGTAATGAAGCTTAATTGGGAGAGAGCCTGTGTTGAAACAGAGGGAAGCGGCCACCCGGGAGGGAGGAGGGGAAAGAGGATGAGACGGATGCAAAAGTGTTCCAGTTGCCCAACCCCAGGAATTTGGGGCGCAGGGTGGGGACAGGAGCATCTGAGAGTTGTGCTGGTGTCTTCTGGAGGTGGCAGGGTGGGGGTACTTAGGAAACAGGGCTCACATGCAAGCAAGACCCCAAGGGTATAAGGAAAGGTAGAAGGGGACCCATCCCAGGTAAGCTCAGAGGGGTACTAGGAGAAGAGGTGACCTTTCTTGGTCCCCTCAAGTTCAGTGGCCATTTACTGCGCCCATCTCTCTCCCTGAATACTGCCATCTACAGACAGACTGTACCTGCACTCTTCCAGACCCTCCAGTCCAGGAGGCATAGAACTCTGGGGCTGCAGTTAAGTTCTGAGGTTCTAGGAAGCTTGGGTGTTGAAGGAATGGCACACCCTTGAGTGGCCTCACATGCATTTAGGGAGCTGTCATTGAGAGCGAGGGTTCCTTGGGTGGGGAGCAGGGGAGCTGGGCGGGCCAGCCACCCCCAGGGCAAGAGTGGGCGGGAAAGACCAGGGTGGGAGGAAGACCAAGGCAGGAGAAGCTGACCCAGACATGCATCCTGTTTACCTGGATAGAGGGGCCACAGTCAGGGGAGGGACCACGGTGGTGGCCCACCACCTGCAGCCTCCCCCACGGGAGACCAGGGAGAGAGGAGGGGTCAGCACAAGATCAACAGTCATCCATTGGCACCATGGCCCTCACCCCAGTTCCAGTTCCATCCGGAACCGGGGCATCCTCCCCACATCTCATCCCTGCTTGGCAAGTGTGACTGCTTTTCAGTTCCCAGGGCCCCCAGTTCCTCCCACTTGGCACGGTCTTGGTCTTGTATCACTGGGCTTCATCACCTCATTAGGAGGGGCCAGTTTCCATCTGCCTTTCTCAAGGTGTCTCAGTCAGTGGCTCCCTTCAACTCTCTCCACCCCAACACCCGCACCCCAACTTGTAACATCCAATACTTGTCGACATGTAAACATCATTCCTGATGGTTCCTTGGTTCCCACCTCACTGTTGTTCCATCGCTGACTCTTTCATGATGGTTATAATCGTGAAAGCAATAATACTAAAAATAATAATCTCAGCTCCGGTTTATAAAAGGCTTTCTGTGTACTAAGTGCCTGAAAGACGGCTCTTTTTATTATTAGAGACATAGACACTGTGGCTTAGAAAACCCAGAAGAGTTTGTAACTGTATCAAGAGCCAAGCCCAGACCTGCCTCCCTCTGAGCCCAGACACCCAAGCCCCGTCTGTTACTTCTATGTGTCACATCAATCCTTACCTGTCTAGATAGGCTTAATTTTGCTTTTATTCTAGAGCTATGTGGGAGGAGGGGTTACAATAGGAAATCTGGACCCCCCAGGATGAGTGCTGGAGCCTCCAATCCCTGAGCCCACTCCTCTCATCTATGGGTCAGGACCCTGAGTGGAGGAGGAGCCCAGGGCAGAGCACTCACTGACTCTAAAGCTCTTTCCCGGGTTCCCCAGTCAAGTTTCATCTGCCTGGTTCTGTGTACCTGCCCTGTCCTTCTCCATCAATGATCTTTTATACACCAGCTTACTCTCTTAAGAATACGGTAAGAGGCCAGCATAGTGGTACACACCTGTAATCCCAGCACTTGAGAAAGTGAGTCAAGGTGGATCATAAGTTCAAGGTCAGTCCAGGCTACACAGCAAGACCCTATCTCTAAAATTAAAAAAAAAAAAAAAGGTAACCCAAAACAGAATTTTTTAAAGGAAACACTTTAGGGGTTGGCAAGATGGCTCAGAGGGTAAAGGCATTTGCCACCAAGCTTAAGGACCTGAATTCAATTCCCAGGATCCACATGGGGAAAGGAGAGAACTGACTTCTGCAAGTTGTCCTCTGACCACCACACATGCAACACAGACACATTTAGAAAATAAAAAAATTTAAAATTTTTAATAGTTTAAATCATGTAAGCGGGCATGGTGGCTCATGCCTTTAATCCCAGCACTTGGGAGGCAGAGGCAGGGATTCTGTGAGTTCGAGACCAGCCTGGTATACATAGTGAGTTCCAGGTCAGCTGGGGCTACAGGGAGACCCTGTCTCAAAAGGACAAAAAAAAAATCACTCATGTAACAAAAATGCCAGAATCACCTGTTCCTTGGTAGAAAGTACCAGAGAAACACAGAGAAAAGCCAGCAATAACACTGCAGTATGGCTGGTTGTTTCTGAATTCCCTTTATTATAAGGAAGGTTAACAAATACAAGAAAAGGGATCCAGGCACAGAGTCCTAGAAACTGCCTTTCTCTTTAGGTTCTCTAAGTCTGAAAAGTTCAAAGAAAATGGAGACATTTTTCAAGGGTTCATTATTCTTTTAAATATTTTATTTATTATTTTTTTTATTTTTATGTGTATGAGTGTTATGCCTGGATGTAGGTAAGCGCACCCATGCCATGCAATGCCTGTGGAGGACAGAAGAGGCTGTCAGATCCCCTGGAACTGGAGTTATGGACAGTTGTTAGCTGCCATGTGGGTGCTGGGATTCGAACCTGGGTCTTCTGCAAGAACAGTCAGCGTTCTTAACTGCTGAGCCATCTCTCCAACCCCAATTTAAATTATTTTTATTTTATGTGTATATTTTGCCTGCATGTATGTAAGTATATCTGTGTCATGCAATGCCAATGGAGTTCAATTTAACCACTGAGCCATCTCTCCAGGCTCTTTGAGTAATAATGTGGTTCATTATTATTCAAAGCCATGTCCACAAATCACCTAAATTCTCCCAAACTCCAATGTCCTATCTTCTGCAATAAACCGGACAGTCTGGCCCTGGAGCCACCTGAGGTCCAAAAGTATCTCGGTTAGCATCCATGTCAAAGGTCAAAGCCTTCATAGTGGTCCCTGAGTCCCCAGAGGCCCCCTTTCCTTCTCTGACTCTAGCTTTTCCCACTCCTCCCCTCCTCCAACCAGAATGGTCCTCAAGTAGAATAAACATACTCCCACCTCAGGGACCTTCACAGTTCAGTCTCCCTGTATATTTGTTAAACACTGAACCAAATAGACTATCAGGCACTTTCACATTCAGGACCTTACTTGACTTTCATTACAACCTCAGGAGGTCAGTGTTGCTCCCACTTTACAGATGAGATAGGTAACTAAGGTCCAGAGTGGTTAAATACCACATACAAAATTGTACAGGAAAAGAGAATGCCAAATTAGCTAGGTGTGGTGATGCACACCTATAATCCTAGCACTCAAAGCAGGAGAATCCTGAGTTAGAGGCTAGCCTAGGCTACATAACAAATTCAAGCCCAGTGTGGGTTACAAGACATGATCCTAGCTTGAAAGAAAATTGACTGGGAATATGGCTCAGAGGGTAAAGGATTTGCTACACAAGCAGGAAGACCTGAGTTTGAATCTACAGAACCTATGCAAAGCCCCGCACAGTAGCAAATCCGCCATCCTAAAGCAAGATGGGAGACAGAGGCTGAACACCAGGAAGCCCATGGTGCAGCTAGCATGGGCACACATCGGTGAACAACAAAGAGAGTTCTGCCTCAAGGTAGAAGGTGAGAACCGACACCTGAGGTTGTCCTCTGACCACAAGAGGGTGCTGGCATTGGGTACATCTGCATTTGCACACACAGGCATACATTCCCACATATCATACACACATTCCTATCATACACAAATAAACAAAGTTTAGGAAGAAAAAAAAAAGCCTTAGCAGAATAATCAGATCAAAATGTGACTCAGGGGCTGGAGAGATGGCTGAACGGTTAAGAGCACTGGTTGCTCTTGCAGAGGACCATGGTTTGGTTCCCAGTACCCATATGGCAGCTAACAATCATCTGCAACTCCAGTTCTAGGGGATCTGATGCCGTCTTCTGGCCTACACAGGCATTGCATGCCCGGGTGCACTTACAAACATACAGACAAAAAAAATCATACACATAAAAATAAAAATAAATAAATAAATTTTTTAATGTTACCCAGATGTGACACCAGCTGGTTCTGCAACATTACTCAATAGCATCATGTGTGAGGCTTCAGCATCTCCCCAACATTTCATGCATTGATATCTATCAAATACCAATCAGGATTATAAAGAAAATCGCAATGGGGGAGGCATAACAGTGAAGACAAAGCAGGTTTGTTATTTTATTTATTAAATCTTTGAGATTTTTATACAGTACAGTTTGATGGTATTAGGTTCCCCTCTCTGCACCTCCCCCACAGCCCCCCAACCAATTTAATGTGCTTAGAGTCTGATTTGTGTCCTTAAATGTCTTTCAGTGTGGGTCCATCCACTGGGCACACCAAGAGTCCCATCCCTGTAAGACACTGTCTTTCCTCCTCCCAGCAGCCATCAATTGCCAAAAGTTCCTCAGGTTGGGTTGGGATGTCTTACCCACTTCCCCATGTCTATGCTGGGATTTTGCCTGGTTTGTGCTTGCCTGGGACTTGTGCGTGCTGTCACCATTGCTGTGAGTTCATATGTGTTACCGAACAGCTGTCTGGAAGACTGTTTCCTTTGTGGTCCACCCCCTCTGGCTCTTACAATCGCTCTACCTCCTCTTCCACAATGATCCCTGAGCCAGAGGTTTGAATAGGTGTCCTACTCAGTGATAAGCACTCTGCAGCCTCTTGTTCTCTGCACATTGACCAGTTGTGGGTTTCTGTGTTAATCACCATTTTCTGTATAAAGCAAATTCTTGTTGAGAGTTGAAAGATGCATTCACCCTATGTGTAGAGGCTGGAGATGTCTCACTTATGGTTAAGCATCTTATAAACACTTGTTCTCTGCATTTGACCAGTTCTGGAATTATGTATGCAAAAA